TCAGCAGTTGCGGAATCAGTGAGCCCACGTTGTAACGGGGCTTGAGAATCCGTTACCTTAGCGTACACTAGTGTGAGGAAGCTGGAAGGTTTAACCCTGAGATTCATAGTTTACGGCGCGGTCTCGACACGTGAGACCGCGCCAACCAGTGGTGCTGTTCTACGTGCTGATTGGCTACCGTGGTGACACGGTAGCTGCTTGTGTGACAATAGCCCGTCACACACCTTAAGTTTGCGCCGTAAAGTTACATCCCGTTTAATAGCAGCATTGTAGGTCTCACATGGGTTGTTAGTGGTCACAAATCCCTGTGTGTATGAAAGCATTGCCACCTCCAGAATCGATGGTTCAACCAAACCTTCGAAAAGTATGCGGAAAATTGTGCCAGCTCCGTCGAAAGTTGCCACCGCGCTTGAATCTCTGCGAGCTTTGAGTGAAATATCACCTCATTCTCACTAAAGTGTAGATCATGAATGTCTTCCATTACCTCAATTGCTCTGGCTGGGGGTACGTAACCGCGTTTTCTCAAATTCTTCTTGGTCACATGAAAGTAGCATATCAGAAAAGTGTAATCGCAGTCCGACCCGAAGACAGAGTTGACCGCATTCCACTGGGCTGCGTCAGCAACTCCCATGACGTATTTGACACGTAGAGGTTTACTCGTCACGGCCGCGAATACATTGCGTAGCAACATGAACACCTCAGTATGCTGGTCTTCATGCTGCCGGGATACTATGAAAATAGCCAGGAGGTGAAAGTGCCTTGCCTTGTCCGATAGCCCAACGACAATAAGCGGATACCCCGACTTGAGTGAGCTTATAGGTAGAGTCCATGTAAAAAACAAAAGACTCGGGATCGCGATCTGCACAGCGCAGTAGCTTCTTTAAACTAATACCGACGACGAATGGATCAGCATCACTCCCAATCCCCGTCTCGTAGTTCCCGTTCTCCTCTGTCCGACTCGTGAACGTAAAGGCAGCAGTCTCTTCCTCGCGACCACTGAACCCTGCTTCTTGCAACGTTTGACGTACAGCGCTACGGAGATCACTACCGCCTAATCGTCCAGCAACGCTCTGATGCGCGAAACGCTGCACCCGCTGCACAGCTGTCTCATCCCAGCCAAGGCGCTCCAACAAGACGTTCTAAATCCGCTTAGGCTTCAAGTCCTGCGGAGCCCAGTCCCTCGCAACGTCTTTCATGGGCTCAGTCAGTACAGGCTTGCGCGCTGCTTTTGCCGGTGTGGCATGTGTGAAGGCCTCTTCGACAGTGACTACAGACTCTTCTTGGCATGTCATGACACGAGCTCGCCAAGCACACAACAGTCTTCGTGACATTAGCACAAGCCTTACACGAGCAACGAAGTTGCTGGACACGCATAGCATGGGGGGGGGGCTGTAGACACACGAAGCACGGAGCCAGGTCTCTCTTCTTGATGCGGTACCGCTTGAACTCGCCGAGTAGATTCGATGCTTCTAGGGGCGACATTGCTGAAGCTACAAGCTGCCAGGGGTGTCGAGTAGTCATGGTTACGGAGGGTCGTTGCGATTGACGGAGGTGACGGGTGGGTCATGAATGATCGCTCGTTCCAAATAGCCTCACCCCTCTCCGCCTCGTAATTGGATCATAATTCATGCAGCAGCCGTTGTAGATTGGTCTAAATTCTAGCTATTGTGTTGCCCAGTTCAAAAGAGTGCTCATAGATAATTTAGAGTGTATGCAGGCGATAAATTGGTGTCTCTCAGCACTCTTACAGTGCTTTTTGTCATTTATCGGTGCAGATGGTATAGTTGTGGTGTTAAACACACAATCTCTGGTGTAGACAGTGCTCCCTCTCAGATTGGCCAAAAGTTGGGAAAGCAAAATAGTTAAATTCGCTAGAAGCGAGCACTGAAGTCACTATTTTCGTATTTTAACTTCTTTCCCCGAAACAACACTGAAACAACATTTTTATTAGCCAATCAAAATCGTGCAAACAAAAACCACAAATCAGCGAATCAGCGATCGCGAAAAGTGTATCCATTCAGACTCTTTTTTACGTCAA